CAGAACGCAGAGGGAGGAGAGAGGGGAGCTGAACACGGCCATTAGCCTCTTCACCGGAGAGTCCCAACAATGATGGGTGCTCCCCTGGAGAAAGGGGGAGGGGAGGAGCAAAGGGGGGGCATCTAATGGGATAATTCCCCCATCAACCCAGGGGAACTGCCTTTCAGAGATGCTATCACTGTGAGCACACGTCTCCATCATGCTTACTGTCGCCATGCGAAACAAAAAAGCACAGCTGTCTGTCAAAGCTGAATGTAATGATCATAAATAAAAGCACTCATGCAGAGGTGGCAGTTGGCTGCAGAAATCCACCTTACTTCTGGACTGACGTCGTCCTAATATTCACTGTAAGCATTTACAGTTCAAACATCTGCTCAGAGCTGCTGAGCACTTAAGGAATTTAGCCTCTAACGGGCAGAACGCGCACTTGTTTTCCTAAAGTAAACAGCATCTCCGCGGTGAGCGTGTTGTTTCAAAAGGTAACTGACAGTGTTCGTGAAACTCCGTGCGATATACCACTGCAGACCCTGATTCAAAATGTGATGTAATCAGCGACTCATTTGGTGTGTTTACTCTTCACTCGAACACGCCGTGGCTCCTTCTTGGTGCCAAATGTTGCAAAAAATAAATACAAAAGGTGAGCCTGATTGCAGAGAGTAGAAGAAAAACTGAGAGACTAAAACTGTTAAATCGAATTAACTTTATTGGTGTAACATTTTAAATATGGCCCCCTTTATTTAGCTAAAGAAAGCCAGGATAGGTGTATGGGATTTAAACCCGAGCAAAGCCAGACAGGTTATTTTCCTCCGCTGTGTCGTACCTGCTTTGATTGAATAATTCCAGCACTTAATGTCTGAAGAACGCGAGTCTGCGGACACTGAGTGGATAACCATATGCTGTCACGATGGAACAGACGCGCCTCATATTGAGAGCTCTGTTGACCTGGGAATTGTGTGGGAGGTGGAGAGCAGGGGCGGAGGGGCGCGGGAGGCTTGTGAGAGTTTTGCGAGGTACAAATCAAGGATTTAACTACTTCAGAGCTCTCTCTCCTACTCACTAGGCACAGGCCGATCTGTAACAATGCTTTTGATTGTGCAAACATTTCAAACCGCTGACATTAAACAAAAGACGCTCTAAAGCAAACGGGTGGAGAAGATGCGGAGGGGAAAAAAGTGAGTGGGGGAAACGGATCTAACAAAAGACTGTGACACAGAGAAAGGCAGGCTTTGCCATAAGTCTTTATTGGGCCGCATATAAAATCAAAGGCAGATGTTCGTTCCCTTTGACCGAACCACATCAGCTGTCGCTCCCCAATTATTTCTCAAAAGGGACAAACCAAAACCAACTATCAGTAAACAAGCAGACTCCTCGAATTCCATAAATGTCAAGCTGTGCAGACGAGTCAGCCAGCTCATGTGTGTGTGTGAGTGTATTTCTGTGTGTCTGTGTGTGCTGGGGGAAACCCCGCGTCGGTTCAGACTCAGGGCTGTAGCCATCACGCCAGTTTGGGGGGAGGTGTTATTATGATTGAACATGCCAGAAGCTCTGCCTCATCACGAAACAAACCCACCCGTCTGTCAAACAACCGTTGGCTTCTTAGGGAGGCCCATTATCATTTGCTCTGCTGAAGTTGTACTGGTGGTTAAATGGCGTTTAAACCTAAAAGAACACGCTGAATAAGAAGTGCAGCAAAACAGAAATGGGTCGATGGTCCGAGTCTTGACTCAACGTGCTCATTTGACAAACATTTTTACATTTTCTGAATGGGGATTTTACAGAAGGATTCATCTGTCTGATTGCTTTTCCAGCAGCCTCAATTTGTGAAAATGAAGCAGAATTCGGACCCAATTACATTGCTGTGGGTTTTAAGTGGCAGTGTGTATTTCCTGCTGCTAGGAGGAAGTACATACATCTCAGGGTAGTTTTTACACCATCTTACCATGACTGTCGCTAGTTTAAAAAAAAAAGGATCTGCTTGAGGTCCTGCACCTGCCAATGATGTCATCATTGTACGGCAACACTACTTGGTCAAAATTTATTGCATCTCATTTTCTATTCTGTTCTTTCACATATGTTTTGGAAATAATTTAGCTATTCTGTTATTAAATTCATGTTTTCAAACATGGTAATGTAACTTCTGTAAGTCGTACATCCAGCCAATCGTCTATAGTGTGACGTCATCGACAGGCACGGGACCCCGTGCCGGCCAGAAGGAAACAACATCCAATATGGCGTCCCCCAAAGACGCTAGATCTGCGCTCCATGTACTTTATACCTGATTTTTTATGGTTATATGGTACGAAGTTGCCAATATTTTACAACAACCGGACATCATTTTATTCATTTTCAGCAACGTTTTGATGAATGTTTCCAGAGATTAACGATAAAATACACATGGTCTCTTTAACCATATGTTGCTGCAATGCAAAAGTCATGTCTTTTTGATCAGAAAATAAATCATGTGATTAGAATAAAAAAAAAACGACAATGATCTTTGTTGTTATTGGGCCAGCTCAGGCTAGCTGTTAGCTCATCAATCATGCCAGAACAAGTCCAAACAGAGGTTGTTTCTTATCACAGAAGAATCCCAGTTTGAAAGGTGGGAACTACTGCTTTAACTTAAACATTTGCGTGAATAAGGCAGAAAAAACACAAATACATGTAAACCTTAAGCAGCTAAAGCCGACATAAATAAAAAATAGAGTGATCTGGAGGGTTCTTGCTTGCCCTAAGTGCCCAATCTGTTTTTTTTTCTGAAGGGGTATGCAGCCTCTGCCCTGATTACACTGGATTGTGGGTATTTCCTGCTTCTAAGCTTCGCATATGGATTGAGTAAGGCAGTGGCAGAGGGACTACCGTTTCCCTCTTCTACAACTTTCTTTCCTTCTCTCACTATTTTTTTAAACTGAATAGCCAAACAGTTTTGTTTTTCCTGGCTTTTCTGTGAAAATACTAAGCTGGACTCCTGGCCCCAACACAGAGTTGCACACAGCCAAAAATAATAATAATAAAGAAACATCCCATGAGGCAAACATGCCTGAATTCAGTTTTAGTCCACATGCTCGCCCTCCATCTGAGGGACTCAACCACACCCATTCTCGACCTGCAGCTCAGAGGCAAGCCTTCATCCACATTCGTCGCCTTTTAGGATAGAAACATTCTCACTACAGCTACAAGGGGTGTGGCCTGTTGTTATTTAAAAAAGTAACATGGAGTCTTTTCCTTCTCAAAAACATCATCATGAAATATAACCTTCAGCAGAAAACACCTTAATAGTACCTGTTAGTGACAATTTACACATAGAGACAAAACCTTTCCTGAAAATCTACAAGAGATTGTATTAAAACCCACACGATATGTAAGACAAACCTGTAAGGTAATGGTGTCGGTTTTAAGGAAAGGGGTGAGATTTCAGGACCAGGTTGCGGATGGTGCATCAGTGGAATCATATTAAATCCAAGAGGAGCCAATAAGGTAACCCCTCCATGGTGCTCCTTATGACATTTTTAACCTTAAAACACATTATTTCCTCCAGGAGTGGTTCCCACTAGAAAGTAAAACGACTCTGGTAAGGTGATGATTTAAAAGAAGGTAACATAAATCTCTGCTGTGGTAGTAAAAAAAAAGATGTAATGAAGTTAATTTTGGTCAAGGTAAAAGGGATTGTACAGATGTTTCAAACTGGGGTCGTGTGAAAAAGGTTCTGAAGAATTCACCTGCTATAGATGGCTCTTTGGAGAACCTACATTTGGAGAAACAAAGACATTCTGATTGGATTGATGAGCTAACTACTAGTCAAAGTGATGTCCAAAGTCAACTGATGCATTTTAAAAACTACTCCAATAATTAAACATTCACAGTGATTTATTCTGACATCACTTAAAAAATTGACCTTATTTGCGATTGTAAAATTGTCTGTACTAGCTAACTATAGCATTTCGTAAGAGAGTCAACTAGACCCATTTCCTCTATCAGAACTTCCACATAGTTTCACTGAACTTTGCAGCATGCTCGTGTCTCCATTTTAAGGGCGGCCCTGAAAGGTCCTAATTCCGGGACATTCCACGGACCAACCAAGTACCTGCCTTGAGGAATACTCGTAAATGGCCCACTAGAATTGCTGGGTGGGACTTGTGGTTAACTCAAGCTGATTGGTTGAAACGAAGTAAAAAAATGATATCGGCAACAACTGGCAGAATGGAAGGAAAAGAAAATAAGCAGCTTTGGCACCATAATTTATGCAGCTTTGTGGCTCGTTCAAAGAGTGCCGTAAAAAGCGATGTTTCTTCTGGTCATTGAATTTTTACATCACACAGCCGCTCTCCTGACACGGGTCCGCACCGTTTATGAGTGAAAGAACCTTCTTTAGCATCCTACAAAATAAAGTCACAAAAATCTACATGACCAGGGGCGGATTTAGGACTGAAGAAGATCCGGGTCTTAACCAAGCCCGCACAATGCCGCTCAGAAAATGGTCCCATCCCAGAAGTAAGAAAAATTGCAGTTCCACCCTCATCCGCTGGGGGCTGGTGCCAGAAGCGAGCAAATCCTCATTGACTCCCATGTTAAAAATGCCGATTTCACAGCAGAAATAAACATGTTTACAGCCTGGTGCCAAAACATGTTTTTTGTCTAAATTATCTAGTTTATACTCATGACAACTCTGAGGGGGGTGAATTTTTTTCTCACTCTTCTGTTTAAGTGTATTGAAAGCCTAAAATTCTGTATAATTAATGAGCATCCGACACACGTGACCGCCGCCTCAGACCCACGTGACCACAGAGCTAGCTCCGTGGAAAGGCCTCAGTACAGCCTCGGTCTGGCTTGGAAACTGCTCCGGCATTTTGAGTCTCTGTGTTTGTGTATTCTTCTTTGGATATTATTGGTGCAATTGTTGGACAAAATGACTTGCAGTGGTATTAATTGCACTAATAGAGCGTCCAAGGAGTCTCCACTTCATTTTTTTCGGTAAGTTAAAATCTATATTCGTATTTTATGTCACTGCCACCTTTAAACTAGCTGAGTTTACCGAAGTAGCTAGCTAACTATCAGTTTAACATGTAGCATGTACTGTTTAACCATGAAATTTAAATGTAAAATACGGTAAAATAATTAATAGGGCATATTTAGATGGGTAATAGGGTAAAACCCAGTGCATTTAAGATAAAAATGGGTTGAAATATGACGGAGCGCTAAGAGGGAGACTTCTGTGTCCATTCTTCCATCCGGTAATCCCCAGCGGTCAGGCCGGGCAGCCTGACCGATCCGGCGCCTACTTGCTGCGCCTAGCTGCTGCGCGGTCTGACCGCTCGTGGAGTTTTTCATGTCTGACTTTAACCGCATCTAATACTGTATTACGGCGTGAGCGCAACAGCGACAACTTAATATCGATGTGTAAGCAGCCTGAGTGGTAGGGTGTTTTCATCTGAACCCTTAAAACCTCCAGCAGGCTATGCTGCACTATTGACGTGTTAGCGCGCGGCGCTAACAACTTAGCAACGTGACATGTCTCTGAGAAAGCGTAAAACACGGACGCTTCTTCTGAAGCGGAAAATAACACCTCTTCTTAAGCAGAGCAGGATGTCGCCTCGGCTCGTTCACGGCCGAGCCGGACTGAGCTCGATAACATTGACCAAGCACAGCCACTGGGCCGTTGTAGCTGCCACCAGGCCTGCTGAAGGAACTCCAGCGGGTTTCATCAGACTCGTAAAGTTTCTTGTTTTTGCTGGGGATTTCTGTATTTTACCGCTCCCTCCTGCAGTCTTCCCCTATTAAAATTTAAAATGTGTAACTTTATGTATTGTGATGAATGACTAATATTCATGTAAAACTAAAACGTTAGGCATTTAGGGGGAAAAAACAAAATAATAAACATTATACAGATGTCAAATAAATCAAACTGTAATTAAACTATATATTTTCAAAGTCATATAGACAGCATGATGGTTTGTGTGATCCGCGCGGTTTCACTTACACCCCTTTAATGATCAGGCTGTTTTTTATTATTTTTATCAGCTGATAGCAGTTAAAATTATGGTAAAAAATACTTTTATCTGTTTTTGATAACTTAATGCCCAGGAAGAGCATCTTCCTGGGCATTAAATATAACCCAAATGTTTTATTATGAGCAGATCTGATGAAGGTTTAGACAAGCAGTCTGCAAAGTAAAACTTGTTTAGAGTCCAAACTCTTACTAAAGCTTTTAAAAAGAAAAAATGGTTGAATTTTGAGAAATATCCACAACAGGGGAGCGAGACCTCTGAAAAATGTATATTTTCTCTGAATTCATAGAATAATGTGAAGATTCTGGGAAAAGTTGGGATTCTGAGATTAAAACGTAAATCTTTCTAATCATAATTCTGGCAGTTTTTGTGTCCTTCTGCTGTGGAAAGTCGTGCAACATGAAGATACTGAGAAGATGCTTACAACCTGTATTTTTATTCCATCCATAAATAAAATCATGAGCTATTTTTTTAATCCAAATTTGATACAAAGGGCCATCGTTGGTTCCAGACCCGTTCTAGAACATTCCTCTAATCTTAAAGTCATCATCAGTTTCTTCCTTTTAACAAATATTTATTTGTTCAAATATTTAATATTTATAACTGGAATATTTGTTCCTCCCTTTCCCACTGCAGTTAGTCCTGTCCTGCAACCCTGTTTTTGCAGCTTAGTGAAGCCAACCATCACTAACCTGGGGGTGGTTTTGGACCCAGAGATGCGGATGGACTCCCACATTAGCCAGGTGGTTAGATCCTGCTTTTCCCGGCTTCGCCAGCTACCAAAGATGAAGTCCATCCTGAAAGACGTGTCATATTTTCTCCCCAAGCCTGACCTGACCGTCATGTATCGGTCCAAAATAGTGTGATGATATTGTGTTTTTTGTACATAACAGACTTTTTAACAGACAAATTTGTCGCATTCTCCTACACCTCTTCACGGGCTCGCCACAGTAAATATTCTATTTGGCAAGAGATAAACTTTATTGTATTTATCCTAGTGAATCTATAATTAAACGGGTAAACTAGTATTAGCACATCCAACATCAAAGAAAGTAAAATGTTACTATCAGGAGAGGGAGAATGTTTAAGTGGTTAGCAGCAGTGTGCTAGCCGATGGCCCCCTCCATGAGGCCACCACAGCTCAGCAGAACATCGTTGTAGCTTCTTCTGGGGAGAAAAACACTTGGAGAAAAAATAAAGTTAACAGCTGAAATAGCAGGAAATAATACAGTTAAAGAGCAGATTGTAGAAGAAAGAAACCCCTGGGTTAAACTGGTCTGTCTACTGCATAATGCTGAACTCTAACATGTGTCCTCAGGGAAGGACCTGATTGGTGTCCAGAACCTGTTGAAGAAGCACCAGGCTCTGCAGGCTGAGATCACAGGTCATGAACCTCGCATCAAGGCTGTCACCCAGAAAGGAGAGACCATGGTGGAGGAAGGTAGAGCAGGTCTGGTCCTGACATGTTTCTGAGGTGTCTGCAGGTTCTGGCTCACTTTTTTTGGGTCCAGGTCACTTCGCTGGTGAGGAGGTGAAGACTAAGCTGTCAGAGCTTCATGGACGTTGGGACACGCTAAAGGCCAAGGCGTCCCAGAGGAGGCAGGACCTGGAGGACTCTCTGCAGGCCCAGCAGTACTTTGCGGATGCTAATGAGGCCGAGTCCTGGATGAGGGAGAAGGAGCCCATCGTTGGAAGTCCAGACTAAGGGAAAGACGAGGACTTGGCCGAGGTATGGAAGTCCCTTCCTGAGAAACTCCAATCGCTTTTCTTTGCTCTCTTTCCAGTCCTTCATAATTAGTGTTTCTGTATTTGTCATTTCCTTCGGTTGTCTACCAGACATCGTTGCTCGTTTGAGCGTCTCATGGGTTAGGGGTAGAAGTGCTGGCCTCGCACAGGAAGTGATGACAAACGTGTTCCCGGCGCTCTTATTTCAAACGGTTTACAAGCTGTGATGTGTGTTCCCGCTGCAGAGCAGCCATGACACGTGGCAGCCGGCAGAAGGCTCACGCTTTTCCACTAAACACCCGCAGAGCTGCGTCTGCGGTGAACTGAGCAGGGTTTGTTTTACAGTGGCGGATCCGATTGGACCATCGCTGCGAGAAAGCTCCACTTGTGTCAGACGAGCTGAAGGTTCTGATGTTCTGCTCCACAGGCTCTCCTGAAGAAGCACGAGGCCCTGATGTCGGACCTGTCGGCTTATGGCAGCAGCATCCAGGCCCTGAAGGAGCAGGCCCAGTCCTGCAGGGTGAGTTCAGAGCCCTCGGCCCGTCAGAACATTCTTATCCACCACGTTCTAACACCAGACCTGTTAACCCGACAGCAACAAGATAATCAGCAGGTGCTTTTGTCCTGCAGGACCTGAAGGCCAACGAGTCCCGCCTGAGGGACATCAACAAGGTGGCATCTGAACTGGAGTCAGAAGGTCTGATGGCTGAGGAGGCTCCTATGGTTCAGGCTCAGGTGAGCGTCACCTGTCTGCAGCAGCTGGTCCCTCTCACTTCCTGGTTTGTTAACTCTGCTCGTCTCTGTTTGTAGCAACAAGAACATCTGGGTTCTGCTCCTGGAAAGGTGCATGTTGTCCTCCGCCTCAACCAGAACCAGACGTGGTGTTTATGTTACCACTCATTTGTTTGTTTGTTTGTTTGTTTACAGGACGAAGCCGACTCTTAACACGGCGTCACCCTGGAAGGTGAGTTCATTCAGCTGATCAGAGGTCACCTCTGATGGCAGCAGTCACGGCCGACCGTGCTGACATCACACAGGAATTCAGGTGACCCGGCAGGCACCAGGTGCTGGTGAAAGTGGGGACATGTCAGCTGGTTGCCATGGCTACAGTTATCTTTATGCATCTGTATGACTGCTGACTGGTGTGTGTTTCCTGTGACCTTTGACCTCAGACCGTACGGTTGGGCGTTCAGACGACGGCTAACTTTAATTCCATCAAGGTAAGAGGAAGCTCTTCCCTTCCTGTCTGAGCGATCCGTCTCCAGGTTTCCTCGTCCGGCGTCCAGCCCGCTGGCGTCCACCTTCATCTCACCTTCATCTCATCTCACTTCATTTATAGTGCAATACTTTCACATTATCATTTTCCCACACTTCTGTATACCTGTATTTTGTTGTTTTTCAATAAAGAATGACAAATTATTTAAGTTTGGTTTTTGTTGCACACAAATATATATCTGTAAAAAATATCTTCAAAGCTAATGTTTACATAACAAGTATGATTGGGTTTTGCAATACGGCACTCAAGTTTATTTTAGTAAGATTTTCAAACCAAGTAAAGTTAGTAAAGAACACATTTCTATTGTCTGCTAAGAAACTGTTGGGATTTAAAATGGGCCTGTTGTACAAATAACTTGTAAATGATTATTCCTCACTTTTGTCTTAACCAAAGAAATTCCAGTAATTGAGCAAAAACATTTATTTTTAACACTACATTTTATAAAACAGGGCACAGTGTCGGCACATGTATGTATGTCGATGGTCCGCCCCAACCGAACCAGGAGACACAGACGTCAGGGAGGCCAAGGTTGTCTCTGCAGCTCTCTGGGCACCACGCCTCACTCAGCTGTCCCCAATGATCCAAATGGCTATGGAGGAAAAAAAATTTAATAAAAGAATGAAACTTAAAAACTCCCAAACCTCATGTCATATTTACTAATCAGCTATGGCTGATTTATTGTTTGGATCACAGTGAGTTACACTAATTCTAATATATTTTTATTTCTATTATACATACATACTTTTTAACTGTTATTTTCACATGACTGTTATCAGGCTCTTGTTCTGGTTCTGATGATAACTCTGTGTCTTCCAGTAAGTTATCTTGTGCTTACTTCATCTGTATAATGTCTCTTTACTTTTGGTAAATTGTACTGAGTCCAGAATAAAGGCTAGCTGGCTGTACAAGATACAAACAAGTATTACGTTTTGGAAATATATGAAACACCGCCAGCATCTGTTAGAGCCTGTGGCGGGGTGCTGAGGGCCGGCTCCAGCCCAGGAATGAGCTCTACACGCCGGCCGGGAGGGTTTGAAACACCGCCATCCTCTCCTCTGCTGGCTGTTCATTCTGTTATGGTTACCGGTGCTTGTGTTGCAATGTTAAACGCTTGGTCTCGGATTTTGTAAGAAAGATAATAAAATGTCCCCCCAAAATACGACTTAAATATATTTTCTCTTCTTCATGATACATTTAATGGCTGGTGCGACTCAGGAGTGATAGCGCCGAAAAAAACTGTACTGAAAACTTGCTCAAAGCAAAATGTATTCATTACGGAAATAAATTATAAACTTACCGATTTAAAACTTTTTTAATACAGGTACTTCTCACGAACAGGCGCAGAAAACCTCCACCTAAACTCCGTGTGAGGTTCAGGTCGATGGGTGTTCCAGTTAGCTCCGGTTGGGTTGAAGCTAGGTGGCTACATCCGTTAGCTCGGCTCCCACCTCCGCTTTAGCTTTGGGTTAGCCAGGGTTAGCTTCAGGTTAGCTCGTAGCTAGTTCGCCTGGGTGTCGTCACTCGAGCCCAGCCTTACAGCCACACCCTCAGCGCCTCCTCTCTTCCCTTTTATGGAATTGTCTGGGCTGGACGGAACCTGTGACACGGTCAAAATGGCGGTGGTGGACACCTCCCATTATGGACAGATAACGTGTTATTAAAGCCTATGGAATCGAATTGTCCAGTATATGTACAGTCTATGGTCTTAACACACGCGCGCGCGCACACACGCGCACAGTCACACGCACACACGCGCGCACTCACACACGTGACACACACTAGTCAACATCATATATATTTGTCTTGTACCACATAATTTTTAATCTGAAGCTACATATTACGCATTTTCAGGGCAGAGTATTGTTCCTGTTAGTGTTTAGTGTGAGATGATAGTAAATATTCCCTTTCTTTCTCCAACAACTTTACCTGATAGTAAGCTAACTTTAGGCAAACCAGCAGCACAACAAATATTTTCAAATAAGACTCACAAACCTGAGTCAACACCAGTCTCATCAAAGCTGGGGTTCTGTTGTTGTAATTTTTGTCAAAAAAACGTCCTTATGTCCATCTTCACTCATGCGTTTCAGGCAGAGAGTGTAGAAGAAGCCGGCTGCTGAAGGGCTCAGGCAGGCTGTTTACAAACTACTGCCAGCTGCTCCCTCTTTGTTGGACTTTGGTACTGCATGTTACTTCCACGATTTAGATCCGGGACTTTTCATAAAACATCCGGGGCTTCAGCCCAAGTAGCCGGGCCTAATGCCGCCCCTGTACGTGACTAAAGTTAATACAACGTTTCAGATCTCTGCCTTGAAGATTATGTTGAATTGTTAATTTGTTTTTAATTCAAACAAAAAAAACTGTTGTGTAAAACTAAATTACACGTAATTGTAAAATAAAAAAACTGCTAGTCAAATGTTTGTAATAAAGCATAAAGTTACACCAACATCACATCGCTCCTATGCATACTTTCACTTTAAACATTATCCATGCAAAATAAAACAACTACAATTTATGTTAAGCTGCTTGTGCCAGCAACTGAAAATATTTGAAAACTATACCTCGGATCTGTCATATTTAGAAATATTGAGTGAGAGGAGATGTAGCTGAAGAATTTAATATATAATACGTGTGTGATAGGTAAATGTTGTGTTATTAAAAGAGTAAAAACGGATACGGATAACTTTCTATGATACATTTTAATGCTAATATATGCCAATAATGAGCAACAGGCATCCCTACCTTTAAAGGGAGACTAGGCAGTTTTGGCTTGCTTCTAGCACCACCTAGTGTTCATTTAGTGAAACTAAACACCTTCCTCTAACAGCTGAAGTTTCTCCTCAGCCTTCATTAGTTTCTACAGGAGCGGTTCATCACTAAATCATACAAATCAGTTGTGTTCAGGATCTAAAACATGCAGGAAACGTGCTGGAAGCAGACTGCAGCACCAAGCATGTCAGCTCCATTTACTATGTCCAACAGGGACCGAATTGGCACTCTGAAGTTGCAAGTGCAATATTCTGGCCACAGAGGGCGGTGTGGTGGGGGTCTGAGTGACATTTCATTAACCCAGTAAAGGGTCATTTTAGGACATGCTGACTCACGCAAATGGTTTAAAAATATGAAAAAGTTATATAGAACGCCTTTAAATGTTATCTTTAAACTCCAGGTCCATCAAAGATTACCTACAACAGATAAGAAATTAATTGTTCCAAACTTTGCAATAAAACTTTTAATCAGAATATGAGAAATACATATAAAGAAGCACACAAATGAAGAAAATCACCCTTTGCATTTAAACATTACTTAATTCTTTATCTGCAGAACAAAGTTTAGAAGGAGTTCAGATTTATTTCTGCTGGCTACACATTTAGGCATTTCTAACTTCTGTGTGTTTATTTGTAATAATCTTTGTTGTTTTCTTGGATGGGGCAGTTCATTATTTAAGGCTCCTCTTGCTAAATCCAGTCGTAATTTCCCCCGACCATTATTGCTGATAGGGAACGTGCTGAGGTGCACTTTCCAGCATTCTGCACACCTACAGCCGTATTTAATTTGGCAGCTGGACAGCCTTCACCTCAAGGCTGTATCACAAACCAGAGCAATGAATCAAAGTTATTTGGTTATTACTTATACTTTTATAATCGGAGGTCTGTCAAGACAAACACACAAATGCCAAAAAAAAAAAAAAAAAAAAAAAAGGCCAATTGATTTTTATTTTTGGAATGACGCCCCAGGGCTGCTTTTGGCGGGGAAATTTGTGAGCCGAGGCTAACGGAGACAACTTTTATTTTCTATCTACTTACATGTGGAAAAAATAATATTGTATTTATATCCAAAAATCAGGAATCGGATTACTGTTCCTTTTTGATTTTCATGCATAACAAATTGTTGCTGTAGAGAATCGTGCACGAATCCCCCTGTGCCGTGCACAAAATGTTTTATGATCTGATTTTGCAAGGCATCCATATCATATTTTCAGTGTGAAAAGCATTTTGTTGTCCCCCCTTGTCTGCCTCTCTCTGCTGTCCTGTGGCTAACAAAAGAGATAGTGTGACACCTACTGAATTACTGCTGCACGGGATATGATTGATTGACTTGTTGATGGCCTGCCAGGACCGCTGGAATTCACCTCGTGTGAAAGGTGCCTCACACAAACACACTGGTAGATTGCTCCTCGGGTTACAAGGGCTGGCACTTTTCTATTATAAATTAGGCTTTTTTTTTTTAAATGGACTAAGAAAATACAGTTTTCTGTATCAGGACTAACCGCACTTTCCTTCATGTTTGAATGATTTCACATTATCATTAAATAAAAAGCTGCACGTAATGTATTGAAGGGCAGTGTCTGATTGGCTGTGCACATTAAGCACATTAAAGTTCAGCTCTGACTCTTCAAAATCACCAAAAAACAGATGTAGTGCAGATCATCCCAATGAAAACAAAACATCGGTGCATTGCTTTACTACATAGCATAAATCAGATATTATAGAAGTGCTGAGAATAAAAAGCATCGGACGTTTTTGGCGTGACTGTTCCGCCATTCCCGCGTTTAAATGGCGGCGGGAGCTTTGTGGCGTTAGGCGGAGATCTCCTCCTGTTAGACACACATCCTGCAGTCTTTGTCCCATGGCAGTGACCCGGTCCAGCAGGAGGAAGCAACCAATCAGGAAGATATTAGATCAGCTCTGGGAGAAATTAATAAAATCCTCTCAAGTCTGCTTCACCTACTACTCTAAACCGTCAGGTTCCAGAGGCGCGCACTTTATACGCTTTCATCAGAGCGACTCCATTAAACTCAGGTTCAAATGATCTGTGGGCATCATGATACTCCTGTGGAAGGTGTTGTGTTCCTCACAACTGACGTCCAGACAAGGGTGGTCTGTGCAACCGGATCCTTTGACATCACGGAGAACATGAAAACATGAAACATAGTTATTGATCACCGAGTCCAGACTAATCAAATAGCTCCCTGGTTTGTTTGAAGTTAAAAACGGTTACAGTGGGTGTTTACCGTTGCACTTCAGGACCCTTCAGCCACACCCCTCTCAAACATACACAACGAAAAGTGTTATTTGTGTTGTTAAATTTACATTAAGTCCATTTTAATTGCATCAAACCACTAAGCAGATCTTACAATAATGGGCCTGACAGAGAAAATTGCAATCATCTGTGCAGAGCCTGTGGCAGTGTAATGGACAAACCTGATTAATTTAATCTTGTTGCGCTCCATTATGGCTGCACTTTATCATTTCAACAGATGGAGCACCAAGAAATTAAAAAAATGCTCTCAAGGATATGTGGCACTCTCCATCCACTTGCACCCCCCGTTTTGTCTGAAGGTGTGTTGGCTGTGCTGAAATGAAGGCCTGAATTGGAACCTTTGGATGAGTGCATCATCTAACCGGATTAAGGGAATTGTCAATTGACGCAACAAATCATCCCAATTGCCTCATGATGTATTGCTCCTAGCTGTTAAAGCCTGTCCATCCAATCATCTTGTCCAATTAGTTAAAATATGGAGGCAATTTGAGCAACCAGGAACGTAGCATGCAGTCATTTATCTGGAATAAAAAAATGCCCTCACACAGTAGATGTTTGCACCGGTGCATTTTCTATGTTTCTAGTTTAAGACTAAAAGGCCAAATTTAAGCACCATTTTTAGAGCGTTGCCTTAATAATTAGTTGATTTAGCAGCTTTATTAGTATTTATACAACAGAATGAGTTGTCACAAATTAATACTTATTTTAAAGAGTTTTCAACAGTTGACCTGTTTATTTCTGCATGCTTCTAGTGGATTTATTTATCACCGTTGATGAATTTAAATGTGAGATTAATTTTTTCTTCTTGATAAATAGACGTTTCATAAATACTTTATTATTCTTGCACACTCTAATTTTTATTTAACATCAATAAATTGAGTGAAAACTGTATCTTTGGTCACTTCCTTATAAACCACTAAACCAGATCGTTAACCATGATATATTTCTACAGCCAACCAAAATAATAAATACTGATCAAGAACAATTAAAATACATTTCTACTGTTTCTCTCAATAAATAAACATTTTCTAGAGCCACTAAGCGTACTTGAAGCTCAGAAAGCATTAAATAAGAATGATGGAATTAAGCAACTTTGATAAATTATTGACATTAACTTGTATTTTTTTTTTCAAGTTTGGACAAAAGAAAAGACCAAACGTCTTTGAAAACACACCCAAAAACATCTCGTTTATCCTTGCGGTAAAATTTAAACACTTGACCATAAAGGTCCATGTGAATTGTTTTTATGTTTGTAGAAAAATGATAAGCATCCCATTGAAAAAATAAATAATACGAATAATTGAACGGAGTGACAAAAATGAGCCCAGTTCTTATTTTCTTCAGCTTTAATGATCTTTTATCAAAAGCAAGACTTTTTTACAGTTCTATAAGTTGCCATTCGTTTTAGAACAAATTATTTCAGTATCCCATAATAGTCAAATGAATGCAAAAATAGCTCTTCATCAAATATTTTCATGTGCATCTGTGAATCTATTTTAGTGTTTATTATAAGTATTTGGACTAACTTGGACAAAGCAGCTTTTTTATTCCTTTATTATTTATTTATTTATTTATTTATTTATTTATTTATTTATTTATTTATTTATTTATTTATTTATTTCGTTTAAGGGGTGGGTTCAAAGAAAGAAAGAAATATCCGAGGGCCCCGCAGCCACAGTTGCAGACCAGTGGTTTGTGGCTGTCTCTGAACCTATAGGTGGCGCTCTAAATCATATTCAGAGAAATTAACATTGTTATCATTATTATAGGACGCAACTGGAATTACTAAAACAGATTAATTAAATAATTTTGTGACTATTTATCAACACCTATCATATTTTAGCTTTACTATTAATAAATGAATATACAAAATATATAAAAGCCTCTAAAATAAGAACTTGTATTAGTTGGGGACACGTTTAAGCCGACTGTGCTTCCTCGTGCCTACATTTGATACCAGTGGGCAGAGCGCGCGCGCGCGCGCAGACACGCGTACGGATATCTTGATGTAACCTTCCGACACCGCAGACAAACTCTTTTGCTTTAATGAAAGGAATGCGTCTAGGTTTAGAGTTTCTTTTCAGTCCGTGTCGTTGTTTCTTTGCCAGCGTTAGAGGACAGTGACATTCATTGAAACTTGTTGCATGGGTGACAGCGACTGTGCGCGTGGAGAAAAGAAAAAAGGTAGGGACTGTTTTTTCTTTCGAGAGAACTTTCTTTCCTCCTCCTTTTTCGCCAGAATTATCAGTCATTACTACACGGGCTGTTTGTTGATTAGCGTGGGTAATTAGGAGCGTGTTATCAAGCCATTTTCAGCATGGGCGGGGCCAGAGTCGGACAACAAGAGCGGAGGGATCTCAGATCAGCAATTTATAATTAATGTGTAAAATGTAAAAAAGTAGTTCCTGAACCCAAGCAGATACTGGACTGGTGTGTTTCATTTTACTCTTCCACTCTGTTTATTTACATAATTCAAATAAGCTTACAGGAAATTGGCCTCAAACATGATAAAAATGAGTTTCATGACATCACCTCTTTGATATGGGCTGTGTAAATAACATTTTTTTTTACTCTCAGAAAAAGGCTGCATTAGAGACATTTGTCTAAATATCATAACAGCAGCTGTAAGTTTTGCTCCCATCCATTCTGTCCCAGACTGAAGTCGTTTTTCTCTTTGATTATTTCCCTTTTTTTAACTGGACACCGCATTTGACAGTGATGGATCGCAGGTTAAAAATGGACATTTTCTTCCTGGCTGGTGTATGTTGGATCGACTTAAGCAGTGCAAGGCGTTCTTCCTTCAGACCAAAGGTCCTTGGAAAGATTGTGTTCCCCCCTCTGCTTTTCCCATTCCATTATGATACACTTTATCTTCATTTTCTCCTGGCCTGGACTCATTTACATGATATATAGGAGAGTCACATCCATGAGACAGAAGTGTAGGTTATGTCAAAGTTATGCCATCATCATGATTACAGAGACAGGCCTTCTCTGCTATTTCTGCAGCACTGAATAAGCATCCCTCTGCATCAGCTGTGTTAAACCAGCGGCTCTCTAAATCAGTGCTTTGCTTCGTTTAGTAGAATAAAAAAATTCACGTAATCAGTTGTTTGTTTTGGTGTCCATGTGTCGAATCAAGGAGCTAAAAACTGTATACATCTGGTTAAATGTTACGGGGATATTTACTGCTGAGAATGTACTCAGGGACTCTACTGGTCATGTTAACTATCTCCATCAGTATTACCCAGTTTTCATCATTATGGACTTATACCACAGACATACGTATACACCCCATCGACTGGCGCTGCCTATTGGAGCTGGCGTAGCAGTGGGCCGTCATCTTGGATGGGTTCCCATTCACATTTTTCCCAGTGCATTTATTTCTACAGAGGAGTGTGTTTACCCAACTAAAAAACACATTTTATTATGCATTTTCACAAAATCAGTCATATAGTATGGCATGATATATGTAATATAATTACATAAAATAAATCAGAAGATACAATCCAAACAGTTATAGGCTAAAAAAGTTGATCGTAATCCCACGTAATCTATTTTGAACAGTGCGCAGGTTGTTGCAACCGTAGGCTGCACAAAAATACGTGTTCTTGCCCATAGGAAGCCTAAGTCACGCCCATCTACTTCTGGACCACGGGTCCTCAGAAGAACGAAAAAAAATGCAAGTCAATGGGGCTAAAAACGCTATTTTCTTATTCCACTTGTTTTGTGCCATGGATTTCACGTATGATGTCCGTGAATTTTAAAGAAGCATTTTGATACCAAGAATGCGCTTATTTTCGAACAGGGGGAAACGTTATTTTAGGTTTTGTGTGAAAATAAGTCCGGGACTACAAATGTGCTTCACGAAAGTGACGTCATCGAACCAAACACGGAGAAAACTGAGGGAAAATGGCTGTAAGTTCAGCGAACTTCCCACAGGAGGAGAGAACCACCATAAATCTGGTTATCTGGTATAGCAGCCACGTTAGAGGAGAGGAGATTGTGTGGTGACGTCATATATGCGACGTGCCGATTTCTAGTTTGTAGTCATGCTAATTACGGACTTATACAAGCTGTTAAATCTCAAAGTACGTGGCAAGCGTGGTCAAAACACCCATCATTACTTTTCATTTAAATTGCAGTGCAACATATGTGCGATCCAGGGCGTAAGGCAAAGCAGTTTTAGAAAATGGAGTTTTTAGCTCCGTTGACTTGCATTCATTTTTTTGTTCTTCCGGGGACCCATGAGCCGACCGGAAGGGGAGGAGACTTAGGCTCCCTACGGCCCTTACTGTTTTCAAACCAACTGTTTTTGTTGGTTTTTTTTTTTTTTTACTTATTTTTTTGTGAAAACAAGACCAAATGTTAGCAGATGCACTTATTTATACCTGCTGCCATTAATGCTAGTTAGGGTCACCACTAACAGCTGTAACCCATCTAATTAGTAAAATAAGTTTCTTCTTACCTTTTAACAATCAACTTGGGGAATACCAGAAAAATAAAATATTGGACAATACTATACTGTTACTATAAAATGTCAACTATGACCAATTCATATTTATAGAGAGGTACCGATTATGGATGGATTGATATATTGGTCGGCTGATACATCACGTTGTCCAATGTACCTCTTTAATAGAGCCAATTTAGTCAGGCACAAGCAATCAGGTGCTGCTTTTGAATTTATTTAAATATATTTTTATTCACAGGAAACATCTAGAAATTGGCCATGAAAATTGGCCCAAAAAATTGGCAGCACATAGCTGACAATGGTATCGGCTGTAGAAAATCCCATATCGGTCCATTTCTTATATGGATGGGTTTACCTGATTCTAACTTCTGTAAAAATGATTTTTTTTTCATTATTTACAATTTTCATTAATTACACCATATTAAAAGAAAACCGTTTTTGCTGATAAGGTGAAAATAACTTAAATGACTTTTTATTTGAATATTCGGTTGATTGCCAAATCGTTTGATTTTTGGTTCTGCTACTGAGAAACCAAACCGTAAGTTCCTGCTTTCCCATGTTGGACCGTCTCACAGAACCTTCATCTTTTTGTGGGAACGTGGTCAAAGTCCAATGCTGAGAATGACATATTTATTATTACTTGTGGTCAAAACATTTTATAGCTGTTTTATTTTATTAGGATGATCTCACATCCTCTGATCGCTGGAGATTATTGACGTATTTATTGACATTGCGGAATATCTTGTTTAGTTTTAACCCGGCGTTCCTTTTCCGTTCATTATGCACGAAAAGTGGACGACTCGAGGTGAAAAACCAGTAACCCAGAGACCCGGAGTCAAAAGTGTGGTTGCAAAGCTGTGTATTATGTCTGAACAGGACAATTTTCATTCACACATGTGCTGTATTCCCTACTGTACTCTACATGTGCTTCACGTTTTCTTTAAGACCTGACTTCACAGAAAAGTTCTCCAGTCTTACTTTTGAAGTTACATGCTCCTCCAATTACTGGGGCCGTGGAGTCTCCCCCACGGTGTCCTTGGACAGCTCTTCGAGTGCCTGAAAATGTTTCGGACCATTAATTCTGGATTGTCTTCATCTGTTTGCATAATTTTCCCTCTGTAACCATTTTCCTCCCCAATTTTGACAGTCTGTTCTCAGGTTTGTACTTTTTTTTCCCCCTTCAAAAATATTTGTCTTCACGAGAGTTTTGGTTTAATATCCATTTTTTTGTGTTAAATTTTACATCAGTCTATTTCATACCTAGCCTGTGTGTTTCACAGCCTGTGTCAGCGGCTCGGTTTGCACGTGTGCTCTATGATATTTTAATGTGATGATTTTCTAATTTACAGAATTTTATAAAATCATAAACAAAAATAAAATCTGTTTTGTCTAAAGTAGAACTCAGTGTTTTTCTTTAACCTGATATATTTTTTGTGTTTTTCTCTCTCTCTGTTTCAGTTGGACTAATTTGCTGTCAGGCAGGAGGTTGTTTTTGCAACTCCGGCAGACTCCAGAAATTAATTTATCCAAATAACCAAGTCCTCCTGGGCCGTGGAGGTTGGGATGCTGAAATCGGCCCTGGTAGGCAGAGCCGTCTTTTGAAGTCTGGAATGTTTTGGCTTGACTTAGAGCAGGCGACTGGAGTGGAGGGATCATTTTCACTGACCCATGGGATTTTTAACCATTTTCATACACCGAGAACAAAACAAAGTGAGGAAAAATGCCTGAGCTGATTTGCATTGACTTTCATATCAAAAACCAAGAAGAAAAAATTAAGTGAGACTGATTTAGGAGAGTAGTCGTTTCCTTTTTCAGATTTGGACGATATGTGGGGGAGAATATATAACGCGTGACTGCTTAATAATTTTGACAGTGGGATCTGTAAAAATAGATAAAAGAAGCAGTTGGTGATAAAATCTCATTTTGGGTTATAAATATGGTCACGGTAGTGGGATTGTTCTTTGGTTTATCTAGGAAGAAATGAATCAAATTTATTCTGATTCAGGGTATCTGCGGGCTCTTGAAAAGTGTATTAAAAGTTGATAAATTGGAAATTAAGACCTGTAAAGCTGCTATAAAAAAATTAGAAATTTGCTTCATTTTTATGCCTATTAACAATATTCTAACATATAGCTATAAATCTATTGTGGAGATTTTAAAAATAAAAAAAATAAATAAATAAAATAAAGTGGATCTCTTGCATATGTCTAAGAAGCTCCACCTATAACAAGTTTCGGAGGGAACGCAACCATTGGACCAAAGGATTTTTGGTCTCCCCAAACTTCCCTGGGTCCTCCATACATTACGCACTTGTGTATTTAGCAACAGAACACCACTGGTGTGAGACGTTCACAGCTCAATAATACCAATGTAGCTACTAGCTAACCCTCAAAACTTAGAGCTCCGGGGGTAGCCGACCCGTGTAGCCCGCTGGCTTACGCACAAGGCTGTAGTTGAGCTGTTTGCCTGTGGAGCTCTATACGGACTGTAAAATATACAAGCAGAGCCTCAGACCACTGCAATCGGAGCCAGGCACCCTGGCCGTTTATGTCAGCTCATCCTCCGCTCCTCCGCCATGGTTGGAGATCAACGGGACATTAGCCACATGCTAACTTGAACCTAATTGAGGTCTGCAGGCACTTTCTAGCGAGAAATACGTGGTTGAGCGGCTCCAAATAGAAGCAACATCAACTCAAAGAACTGCAGTGTTTCTGTAGTCTTCCTCAGAAACCTCCACAGGCGACCAGCACAACTACAGCCTCACATGGAAGCCAGGCGGCCACACGCTCCCATCTCCCGAGGGAGCCGAGATGCCCGTGTAGCAGCCGTTCCCAGCTGAGATACAGGACAGGCCTGGCATCCAACTCGTTGGGTTCCCTCCAAAAGATTGAAGCAGCTCTCTAAACGCAGGGCCCCCGCTGTTAAAGGGAGAAGCAGGTTACTGAAACTCGGCAAACCTCTATTTTGCATCTGTGACCTCAAGCATCTTTGACCGTGGTTGACCAGCGAAGCCCCGAAGTCCCATAGCCTCTGTCAGCGTACTTAGCTTGAGTTTCTGTACCCAGTCTGCCACACCAACACATTATATTTCAATCTTTGACCAAGCCGTGTTATGTTAAAAGCACATTAATGCACCACATTTTCCTTTATTTAACCAGTGAAATAAAATCCAGAAATTTTACTTTACTTACTGATAAAATGAAGCAGAGACTTCTTGGATGAACTGTTAGTACAGCCAATAACCGCAGCTTGCCCTTTTTGTCCCAAAAATTCCATGATTAACATCCAAACACGAACACACAGAAGACACAACTAAAGTTCAGAGTCAAAATGGCGGAACATCTGTTGACGCCAGTCTGAGGCTGAGGCCTTCCCTGGAGCTAGCCACTAGCGCTAGCTCTGACGTTGCTCTGACGCTCATGCTACCTGTCAATCAAATCTAGCTATTCATAATTTCAACCTTAAACCTTAAACCTGCAATTTATGGCACTTCCGCGTTGGGAGCAGTTTTGGTTGTCCAAGATTCCCGCTTGGTTCAAAACCTAGCTCGTTTTCAGAATATATGAAAAAGTCTTACATCAATTTAGTAAAGCCTTTCAATTGATTAGTATTGACATGCACTTAAAATAGATGCATGTAATTTTTGGTTCTCTTATGGCAGTGTTTGGCATGCATTTCCGTACTATGTGACTTTATTGCTAAAAGGGGCGTGACAAATCCTGCCAATAAATTAAGTGGAAAATGAAGCAATCCGGATATGCTTAATAGTCGATTATTTCATTGCAATTATTTTAGAAGGTCTTAAAAGTCTCGAAAAGGTATTAAATGTAATTTTGCGATATGTACCCTGTGGTTAGTAATTAGGTCGCCATTTGGACTGAAAGCTAAAGAAATACAAGACCTGTTCTCCAAACACTTTGTGTGCTTTATAAATTAGGTTGCATGCACCGTTAGTGTATAATTTGTTATGTTCAGTAGTTACATTAACAAAATTAATTACTATTTATACCTTGGAGCCAGTTGAAGGCTTTAACCAGAACAAGGAGATGGTACGGTTTTATTAAACAAGCCCAAGAAAAGCAAAGTGCAGGAAACCAGGCGGTCTTGATTAACGGGCCACTTGAGTTTCCGTCGTAATAAATAATTCACGAGTCCTGTGTGATGAGCTGCTGAGGACAGAAATCCCTAATGACAGCTTTTTATAACCTATGACTCAGCTGCCCATTATGCTCCTGACATCCCAGCACAGACCACATCCCCTCTGCAGGCTCACTACACTCAGCCAGTTCCGCACCGCTGCACCTTACGTTCCACTCCGCCTGGGCTCCATAGTCAATTAATAGTGAGGGTAAAAAAATACAAAACATGGTCAAATGTTACATTTTTATGGATCAGCGTCTTGTTTGGAATTCAGATTTAATTATATAAAAGTTGTTTTTAATTGTTTGAAAGTGCAACCTGCAGGTTTGGAACCCCACGTGGCTTTTCACCTGTCACTTTAGCCAAGAGTAGCTTAAATGGTAAATGGCCTGTATTTGATATAGTGCCTTCTAGAGTTCTTGAAACCCCCAAGGCGCTTTGCAACACAATCAGTCATTCACCCATTCACACACACATTCACACACCGGTGGGGATGAGCTACAATGTAGCCACAGCTGCCCTGGGGCGCACTGACAGAGACGAGGCTGCCGAGCACTGGCGCCACCAGTCCCTCCGACCACCACCAGCAGGCAACGTGGGTTAAGTGTCTTGCCCAAGGACACAACGACAGCGACAGACTGAGCGGGGCTCGAACCAGCAACCGAGCACTTAACTCCTGTGCCACCGTCGCCCCTAAGACCCTTAAGTAAGAGTAATATTTGCATTTCAATTAGAATTAAGAGGGGCTATTGGGAATTCTGTGGCAGAAATACACCAAAGTTTCTAAATCTTTTTTAAAAGACTAAGTTAGTTTTATTTTTGTTATTATATATATACACCGTGTGTACAGCATCCCATGATTTTAGTTCAAAATTGTCACGTTTTCACAGATTTTGTTTAGATTTCTGTTGAGCTTGCACGTTGATAGCTCCCTCATTGCCTTAGACTGAAAAAACTCATCGTAGTTCTGAACAAAATGTGTGTTTTTTGCATATGACTGTATTGTTTGTTACTCTTTTGAATAATGTAAAGGTTTTAAAGAGTGAAAGTAGCTGTGCTCATTGGAAGATAGTACATCACCTGTCACTTTTTTCCAGTTTTAAACCATCTTAGGTAGAAAAAAGATGGACTTACTGACTTTACGCAGGAAGTGAAGCTCTTACATGATCAATTAGCACTCAAAGTATGTGACAGGAATGGCCGTTATTGTTAAAATGTGCCTCAGTATCTGTCAAACTGACTTGATTTAGAGTGAGTCATGTTTTTTGCTAATGTCATTTAGCTGTGGTGGCCATCTTGAATTGGGCTGACCCCAAAGTAATGTAGGTCCATATCAGCTTATCCTGAGTCGGGTCGTGTGGGCAGCAGCCTAAGCAGAGGCCCAGACTTCCCTCTCCCCAACCATGTGGGCCAGCTCCTCTGGGGGAATCCCAAGGTGTTCCCTGGCCAGCTGAGAAACATAGTCCCTTCAGCGTGTCCTGGGTCTACCTTTGGGTCTCCTCCAGGTGGGACATTCCTGAAAAACCTCACCAAGGAGGTGTCCAGGAGGCATCCTAACCAAATGCCCGAGCCACCTCAACTGGCTCCTCTTGATGTGGAGAAGCAACAGATCTACTCCGGGCCTCTTTGTTACGTCCATTCTGTGTTTTCTATCCGGTTGAATGTTTTTTTTTCTGCATCATACACAGAGCAAAGAGAGCTTGTTTTTACCTTTGCTGACGTGTTTCGACATCCACTGCTTGCATCCATTTTTTAGACAGGATTGGAATTATCTTCCATGGTTTCGTAAGAGTTTTTGGCCAGATTCAATGAAGACTGAAACCTTAATTCTGGCACAAAAAATTGTATTAATCAGTTGTTCTCTGTAAGGTCTATTTTGCCCTCAAATATATGCTTTTTGTTTGAACTCCCTCTGAAAATGCGTTATAGTTGTGTGTTCTAAATATTATTTTTATCTGCTTTAGGTGCTTGCAGGAGGGCCTGAACTAATTTCACTTGTTGCTTTGCTGCATAAAAGTGAGGTAAGAAACAGGTTCTCTTTAATCTGCTTTAAGGGTTTTGACTTAAAGAGTTTGATTGGCATAATAGCTTCATACCCCCTAGGTAAGGTCACTCAGAGCCACATCTGGATCTATTGTGCTTTGTGCAGCTGACCGTAGAGAAGGCAGGACCTCATATGGTTTTGGTTGGTATCATTATTGTTATCATTTCCAGTTCTCACTTAAACTACGTGGTTAATTTTATAAGAAAAAGAGATCAGTTTACCGAGGCAGGCTTGGAGTTGTCCCTAAAGTTAGAGCTGAGAAATAAATCTGGTTGCTTTGATTGAGTACCTGACAATAGAGTTAGCAAAGCACTAGCAGTTTATAGTAACACGGCGGACATGGGCAATTAGGCCCAGCGAGTAATTTACAGTACTGCTCGCAGGTGGTGACCTGGAATGAGCTCAGGACCACCTTAGAAACAAATTAGATCATTTAGGCGAGTGGAGTAGCGGCTCTGTAGGACCTCCAAAGAAAGCAGATGAATGAGAAATGAGAAAAAAATGTACACAGTTCCAAGTTAGATTTTATTTTATAAAACGGCAAATAACATACAGCTAGATACATATTTTTTTGTTCATGATTTTCAGAAGAATAAATAATCACCTTTATACGTTGTTGATCTTTCGACGCCAGTGTGGAGCGCCCAGCTCTCACAGCTACCTATTAATTATGAAATACTGTAGGCCTTGGCCATTTTATTTTACTGCCACTTCCTGCTGAACTTGGTGTGAAAGACTGCTGTTTTTAAATAGGTGTATAAAAGCAGGGACGGAGAAAGTGCCTTGTGTAGCAGCAGCAGCTCGCCAGCATTATGTCATCAGAGTCAAAAAGGCAAATCTGAATCTGAACATCTTGTTTCACACATAATAGACACCCTGGCGCATGGAGCTAAGGCAGCTGATGTGGAGGCTGATTCTCCTGTAGATAAAGGCAGCTTTGAAACTTACAGATAAAGAACCTTTCATGGATTTAAGAGGGAAATTTACATTTTCACCTAACTGTGAATTAATAATTTCAGCCTTTATAATACACAATACCTGGGTAAAGGTGTCCGTGTGTCTCTGTCTTGCTCATTAGATCACAGTAACAAGAAATCCTTGTTGTACAATTCCTTTACCCTAAAAATGTCATGAAACACTGGAAAAGACCCTCAGACCACCCTGACCACTGCAACACACTGCCCCTATAATATTTCATCTACACCTGAACGTCATGGTTTCTACAGTTTCCATAGACATTTGGGATGTGTATTGGTGAAATTCTGGCGATACGATGCGTATCACGATACAGGGGAGACGATATATTGCGATATGTCATCATTTTCTTAGACTGAATTTATTATAGGAAAATTCTATAAACAGTCCAAACTGATACGTAACATCATGCTTTCGTTCTTTTTTAAACACAGAAACAGTTTTGTTTACCTGTTTGTAGCTACAGTTTCGCCGACGGCTGCTGGCTTCTTCAGGCTGACGCTGATGGTGGCGCGTCACTTCCTTCTCCGTTTATCTGCGGGCAGCAGAGGACGATGTCGCCCTCTACTGCCCGCTCTCCCCTCTCCGACGATGCAGTCCCATGCGTGGTCCAGCGTGTAAACTCCGTCGTCCCTGTTCATGGTCCCACATCCACGTCTCCTTATCTCGATTGCTTGTGTAGCAGCAGCAGCTCGCCAACGTCCTCTGCTGCCCGCAGATAAACGGAGAAGGAAGTGACGCGCCACCATCAGCGTCAGCCTGAAGAAGCCGGCAGCCGTCGGCGAAACTGTAGCTACAAACAGGTAAACAAAACTGTTTCTGTGTTTAAAAAAGAACGAAAGCATGGATTTAGAAAGACACAGCAAGAACACACCTAAGATGATACGTAACATGTTTAACATGAGGTATGTGAACCATAATAGACGGATTTACATTTCAATGGTGGAAACAAAACCCATTGCGCTCTGCTGCCGACTAATGCACCAAAAGAAATAAATAATTGCACCAAAAGAAAAGAAAATACACAAGTGTTTGCATGTAAATTCTTTTCTAAAATTCGATACATAGCTTTTGAATACCGATATAATATTGCAGGAAAAAATATCACGATATATTGTCATATCTATATTTTCTTACATCCCTAATAGACATGAATATGTAGACGCACCATTGGGCGCTGGAGAGCGTAACAGCATCGCTGCCATGTTGGGTGGGTTCCTCACTCTCCAAACCCAACTGGAGTCAACACAGGATGGGCAACTATGCTCCTGTTTTTGCAGCCTACAGTTGCAACAACCAGTGCACTATTGAAAACAGATTAGGTGGGATTACTATTAACCTTTTTAGCCTACCTGTTGGGATTTAATATTGTAATTTTTGTTTTTACTTTTTTAATTTAATCATATTTATCATACCATGCTATATGTCTGATTTGGTGAAAAAGCATGATAAAATGTGTTAATTGGGTATACACCTTCCTCAGTAGAAACAAGTACAGTGGAGGCGAACGGGAACCCATCCAAGATGGTGGCCTGCTGCTACGCCAGCTCCAATAGGCAGCGCCAGTCCACATTACACCTGCGTATATATGTCTGACATTTTCTACCTAATACCTTTAATCCTTTACCGTCCTCAACAAGAAAAAAGCGATGGACATTACACGTTTGTATTTTTTGATTTGGGGTTATGGCTTTAATTTCATGTAAATTAATAGTATTAATAATATACTAATTGTAATAATATTAATGTAATATTATTGCTGTGTAATAATGTTACACCTTTTCCTCACATATTCTTTAGAATTTTAGTGTTTTACTATTTTTTTCCTGCTAAGTTCATAAAATGCTTCAATGAAATGTTGGGACTTTAGATACGCGGAAGTGACTTAGGCTCCCTATTGTTGCCATGTTTGCTTTCTTTGTAACCTACAAATACTGCACTCTATCCAGTCCACGTTATGCAATGTGCCCTCTAGTGTAATCCTCCAGTACTGCATGCAGTGCTCCAGCAAGAATGTGAACAAGATGCAGCCCGGGTCAACGCGAGGTATATTCCCAACCTACCAATGATTTGGGTTACAGATGTACTCTGTGTATCTTACCCACAAAATGTCTAAACCTCACAGCGCATTTTTTATACTGACGAATATCGCTTGAAAATTTTTAAAGATCATTCAACCTTTTTGTATATTTAACCCCACTTTACCCTCCAGAAAAACAACAACAGTTGTAATCTCTCTTTAAAAAGTTTTCTTTACTCTTTTATAGTCAAATCAACTATAATTGGTTCTCCTCTTTTCACTTATGACTGACACTCCATAAATAGTCAGAGTGGCTAATTGGCATAAACGTCCACAATGTGAGCAGAAACACATCACTGACAGCTGTGTGTGGTCCACAAATGCTTGCACAGCCTTTTTCAAACCTCAGCCCGAAAGAAATATAGAGTCTGTTTAGGCTGCACCTGTAACACAACTTTGCCTTAAGGACAGACATAAGCCACAGGAGATTCTTTTTATTTATTCTCTTGCTAACAGGGAAGTAATTAGTGCCGTCAAAGTGAACTCATGATCAAATATTTGTTTTATATGAAGGCCGTTGTATGAGAGAGAAGCTGCTGTCTGACTCTTCTTTCTTTCAAATTCAGGGGCCCTTCCACTGAAGCAAGGATCAGCGTTTTGTTGGTCGAATTAAAGCGTTTTGGCCTCTGATCTATAATTTCATTAGCTTTTAGGTGACATGAAACAGCATCAACCTCATTTATTTATTTGGCAGTCTGAGGCAGGCTGAGTGACAGCCACAGAACATCACATCACTTATGTAAACCTTCCCTCCGCCACTACAAAATTAGAGTGCCTGTTGCTACACACCGCTGCCTCCCCCTCCTGCACAAATGAGAACTCTGGTTCAGAAGTTCACATTTTGGATGGATGCAGGAACGACTTTTTCACTGAACAGGTGGAGAAAACGTCATAATTCTGGCTTCTGATTATGTTCCTAAAAAGTGCTTGCAGTACAAAATATAAATATCAGCTCATTTAACTTGCGATTGAAGGCAAACTGATACAACTGGAACTCGAATTGTTGCTTTCCACCTGCTTGAGGGTATAAATATTCCCTAAAACCAATAAATTACATACATGTATCTTTGACACGTCTCAAGGCTTGGCTGAGAAAGCTATTTATTCCCACACACTGTTAACTACTGGCACATATGTGCTGAAGGGGAATGCCATTCAGAATGCAGAAAATATATTTAGTTCTCGCCAACAGACAGCAAAAGGCACCAGTGGGTCTAGGTCTGGTGTGAGATCGGTTATTTCTGTCGCAGGATGGACTTTCAATTACTGTAATCGGCTGCTTCACTCCTTCAAGAACATCAGGCTTGATTATTTATTTTTTATGTGATATGACACAAACAGTACATCTAAACACTGATAAAACGTCAACTGAATATCTAAAAAAGGTGAAACTAATATGTTAGTTTGAGATGTTAATTATGAATAAAATATTGTACTTTTCAGTGTTTTTTAGCCTTATTTTCTGTCTTGTATCCATTAATAGTTCAGTTGTTCACTGCACTTCACAGGAGGTAATAAGATATCTGCTAGCATTTGGTTTGACAGATTTTAGCTTTGATTCGGTGTTTCTGTGCGCTCATTAATACATAGGTGCTTATGGACAGTGGAAATACCCCACAGCTGCAGTCTGGCTCCTGCCCCATGGGTGACCCCCTCAAGAAAACAGTCAGCCGCGCTGTCGCTTACACCCACACAGACATTCGTCCAACAAACCCTCTGATGAAAGCCACAGATGTTCTGTTTTTAATAAACGATATTAAAGATTTTATTTTAAATGCAACTTTTATTCTAAAAACCACTTTAAACTGGGTATTTTATCTCAGATTGGGCAAATCTGTTGACAAAACTCTGAGATTCAACAGGGATTAACTCAGAACAATGCCCAGATAAGTGATAAACAAACCAGATCCAGATCTAGGGCC